TCGACGCAATGACGACGTTCCTTGCTGTCGAGAGTTGGCGCCGGCCTCGTCACTGCTGACGATGTGATGACGGGTCGAGGAGCCGTTGAGCACCACGCGTTGCTCTGGGCCAGCATAACGTCTCAACTGCTCGCATTCGAAGCATCTGTCGGGCTTCACAAATTCAAATTGGCATCCGTCAGTAGGGAACAGAGGCAACAAAAAAAAAAAAAGTGTGCGAACAATTTTGCGAGCGTGTGGCGTATTCGAAGAAACTCAAGTGGCACAAACCTCCCGCTCCACAGTGATACATTTTCCATCGCAGTCGTTTTAGTTGGATACTGGTATTTTAGTTCATGAATAGCTAATTTCAATTCGAAATGAATATTAGTTTGCCCCCTACTTATTTTCGTACGCGAAAAAGGATCAACCGAAGCTTTCCAAATATTCTCATGATTCGTTCAAGAATTTTAAATCGCGAAACTTCTCATCAATTTCCCGGTACTCTATTCTCATAAGACAATTTTAATAAATCGATTTCTTCGTATTCGAAGAAGGTAATATTCAAAATGCTTGATTTCATCAATCAACTATTCTTGAAAGCACTTGATATTAACATTTTATAGTGCATTTCCAAATCCTCATCCTTTTGAAGAATTAAACTATATTCCATTTTTCCTCAGACAATAAAGGAAGAATAAATCAAAAGAAGGAATATGCTCTTGGAAATTCGAGTGATGCATCACAATTTGTATGCTTTTCATTTTCCGTGCCTGGACGAATTTTGTTTGATAAATTTCGACCCTTTTCTCCAAATTGTTCGAAACTTTCAGCGACTATAAATTTTTTGGTTTTGCATTTTCTTCACTTTTCGACACCATATAATCAATAGTTGAAAATAATTCACAAATTTAAAAGTCCAAAACGTGTATCTCTTGCAATGGATGTACAGGAATGAACGATTTCTACATTTTAAAAATCTGGGGATCGTGGAAAAATAATTGCTTCGGAATTGCTTCCCTATAGAGTTCAATGTGTGTTTTCAGCTAGAGTGATGAAAAATACACGATAACTTCAATCAAAGACGGTTTGGTAAAGAAAAAAAAACTTTTGGAATGGAAGCTGACTGTGGAGTGCTTCAGTTGATTTTTAGAATTATCTAATTAAAAAATATTATCATTGTCCATCATTTCATGCTCACACGTTTCTAGTTCTTCTATATAAACAAATAAAAAAACATCTGACCTTCCTGATGCACAATTCCATTCGATTTCTGTTAAGCTGTTCGTATAGTATATACCGATGTGGATAATTGAAAAATGAACGCATTATTTCTTCAACCAAGAAATGACTGAGACTTTGTCGCACTGTATTTCTTCGGAACTTTGTCNCTGTTAAGCTGTTCGTATAGTATATACCGATGTGGATAATTGAAAAATGAACGCATTATTTCTTCAACCAAGAAATGACTGAGACTTTGTCGCACTGTATTTCTTCGGAACTTTGTCAATGGCCTCACCTCAATGTGGCGATCTGCCATGCAGAAATCAGACTCTTCGGCGTCATCAGCAGTTTTTCTTGGTTCACAAAATTCAATATGTTGCTTCAAATTTTAAAAGGAAAATGAATTCAATCCAAGAAAATAAGTGATGCATCGATTACGTGATTGGAGAGAATGAAAGAATTCACAATAGCACCTTCCACTGCCATAACCCATCTATGAATTTGAAATTCAATGTGCAGTATTTTTAGGAAGACACGTGATGGTAAAACTGGGTAATTTAAAAAAATTCATACGTTCAATTTTTGGCGTCGATTCACCAAAAAATGTGCACAAAAGACCCCCAAGATCTTGAACCTCTTACAGTAAAATCTCGGGAAATCGAAGCAAGTCGGATCTGAAGAAAATCATTACATACCGAGATTACAAAAATTTCGGGCTTGAGAAGCAGGGATTGAAAGAAAAAAAAAGAATTGGCATCATATGCATGAACGGGTTATACCGATTTTATACTATACAGTAATTCACATTCTTTACACTAGCACACTTCGATGCATGCACACCAGTTCCGCGATCAACTGAAGCCGCGACGGAAGTGTCGCTGTCGCCAAAACCGGTAGTTCCCCAAAGGCCAGGAAATGAATGGCGCGAAAATCGTGAGACGCCCTTGGAGGCTGCTGACCATCTGTGGGAACCAAGGTTTTCCGAGATTCCCACACAGATACGAATGAAAGACTAAATTCGTCGGGGAATTCGGGTTCTCCAAAGCTAGCGTATCGAATTTAATGTATCCGTTGAAATATTCGCGACACTATCTTCTTTAATATTATTATTTTTTTAGCAAATTTCGATTTCATGCCATGTAAAATGTGGGCGTGGGTCTTATGGGGATAACTTTTTGGGAACATTTCATGCCGAAATACGAAGGTGCACATCTTATCGAAGGAAATGTGGCATTAAATTGAATATTGTGGACTCTACAAAAATGTTCTCTGTACAACAATTGTTTTATGTCCCATAGGGGCTTCTCCCCATTTCATAGGAGTTCTCTACAACCAAATTATCTCCACACAATTTGCTTCTGGTCCTTTAAATTTTATTTTAAGAGAGTGAGTCAACGCGTCTTTGGCTGAATTTTCTCGTAGACCTGAACCGTAGCAGAGATTAGCCATAGTCATACAGTGTACCAAACAATCAATAGAGCACATACTGTGCATAGTTTTCTTTACATTTTAATACCTTGTTCATTTCTTGTAACAGCACATTATTATCACCAGCGAGCGATAAAAAAAAGGAAAAAATACAGTATTTGAAATGGAAATTGGAAAAAGAAATACTGGGTGGCTGGGTGCGCTGAAATTTCAGAATGGACCACAAAAAAAAAAGAGTACTGTATTGCAGTAGATGCTGGTGGAAATGTACTGCACGAATATATTTTGGATCTACTCGCCTGTATACAGTTAAACTTGTAGTTGGGCTTTGGGGACTGGACTGCTGGAGGTGGAAAACGACTCGCTGCACGGGTTTGTTCTTCGATCCTGTCGCTGACGCGTTTCGACGCAATGACGACGTTCCTTGCTGTCGAGAGTTGGCGCCGGCCTCGTCACTGCTGACGATGTGATGACGGGTCGAGGAGCCGTTGAGCACCACGCGTTGCTCTGGGCCAGCATAACGTCTCAACCGCTCGCATTCGAAGCATCTGTCGGGCTTCACAAATTCAAATTGGCATCCGTCAGTAGGGAACAAAGGCAAAAAAAAAGTGTGCGAACAATTTTGCGAGCGTGTGGCGTATTCGAAGAAACTCAAGTGGCACAAACCTCCCGCTCCACAGTGATGCATTTTCCATCGCAGTCGTTTTAGTTGGATACTGGTATTTTAGTTCATGAATAGCTAATTTCAATTCGAAATAAATATTATTTTGCCCCCTACTTATTTTCGTACGCGAAAAAGGATCAACCAAAGCTTTCCAAATATTCTCATGATTCGTTCAAGAATTTTAAATCGCGAAATTTCTCATCAATTTTCCGGTACTCTATTCTCATTATAGGACAATTTTAAGAAATTGATTTCTTCGTATTCGAAGAAGGTGATTTTCGAAGTGCTTGATTTCATCAATCAACTACTCTTGAAAGCACTTGATATTAACATTGTATAGTGCATTTCCAAATCCTCATCCTTTTGAAGAATTAAACTATTTCCATTTTTCCTCAGACAATAAAGGAAGAATAAATAAAAAAAAAGGAATATGCTCTTGGAAATTCGAGTGATGCATCAAAATTTCTATGCTTTCATTTTCCGTGCCTGGACGAATTTTGTTTGATAAATTTGGACCCTTTTCTCCAAATTGTTCGAAACTTTTAGCGACTAGTTTTGACTCTGTCCCTATCGTGAGGAAATTTTTTGGTTTTGCATTTTCTTTAGATTTCGACACCATTTAATCAATAGTTGAAAATAATTCAAAAATTAAAAAGTCCAAAACGTGTATCTCTTGAAATGGATGTACAGGAATGAACGATTTCTACATTTTTAAAATCTGGGGACCGTGGAAAAATAATTACTTCGGAATTGATTTCCTTTAAAGTTCAATGTGTGTTTTCAGCTAGAGCAGTGAAAAATACACGATAACTTCGATCAAAAGAGGTATGGTAAAGAAAAAAAAACTTTTGAAATGGAAGCTGACTGTAGAGTGCTTCAGTTGATTTTTAGAATTATCTAATTAAAAAATATTATCATTGTCCATCATTTCATGCTCACACGTTTCTGGTTCTTCTATATAAACAAATAAAAAAACATCTGACCTTCCTGATGCACAATTTCATTCGATTTCTGTTAAGCTGTTCGTATAGTATATACCGATGTGGATAATTGAAAAATGAACGCATTATTTCTTCAACCAAGAAATGACTGAGACTTTGTCGCACTGTATTTCTTCGGAACTTTGTCAATGGCCTCACCTCAATGTGGCGATCTGCCATGCAGAAATCAGACTCTTCGGCGTCATCAGCAGTTTTTCTTGGTTCACAAAATTCAATATGTTGCTTCAAATTTTAAAAGGAAAATGAATTCAATCCAAGAAAATAAGCGATGCATCAATTACGTGATTGGAGAGAATGAAAGAATTCACAATAGCCGCTTCCACTGCCACAACCCCTCTATGAATTTGAAATTCAATGTGCAGTATTTTTAGGAAGACACTTTCTCCCGTGATGTTAAAACTGGGTAAATTAAAAAAATGCATACGTTCAATTTTTGGCGTCGATTCACCAAAAATGTGCTCGACAAGGACCCTAAGATCTTGAACCTCTTACAGTAAAATCTCGGGAAATCGAAGCAAGTCGGATCTGAAGAAAATCGTTACATACCGAGATTACAAAAATTTCGGGCTTGAGAAGCAGGGATTGAAAGAAAAAAAAAAGAATTGGCATCATATGCATAAACGGGTTATACCGATTTTATACTATAATTCACATTCTTTACACCAGCACACTTCGATGCATGCACACCAGTTCCGCGATCAACTGAAGCCGCGACGGAAGTGTCGCTGTCGCCAAAACCGGTAGTTCCCCAAAGGCCAGGAAATGAATGGCGCGAAAATCGTGAGACGCCCGCTATTTGCAAATAGCAGATACGATTCTGTGGAAATGTTTTAGGAAAGTTTTACCTGACCTTTTTGGGCCTGCGGACTGCCAAAAAAATATATATATCTGTAGACTGGCGAAGTTTCATAAATTTTTCAGATTCAAAAAAGTTTTGCTGGAAATACTTTAGGGCCAGTATTTAAAAATGTTTGGCTTTAGCAAAAATTAAGTTGAGCACCAATTAAGCAGCTATAGCTGAATGCCATGCAAAAATTGTAATGTTGGGCTTCAAGAAAAGTTCCTCAGCGTGAAAAATTAAAATAATCTATTTCTTACAGCATTGGAAAATTTGTCCGAAGTGTTATTAGGAGAAAAGTCAACTTTTATTTTCCGTCAGATAATTTCAACTGCCATTGTCTTTTCAAAATTTTAGATAAAGATAAAAACTTTATTGCTATTTCTGATAAACTGAACCTAAGTGGCTTGTACAAACCCAACTGAACCTAAGTGGCTTGTACAAACCCAACTGAACCTAAGTGGCTTGAACAAACCCAACTGAACCTAAGTGCATTTGCACTGCAAAAAAAAACCTCATGCGGTTGCCCTAATACTCTGTCTCCTGGTACTCTTGTACATTGCCCTGCCCAGTACCATTGTACTGTGTGCAGCGTCAGCTCATTGTATTGACAGCTGTTAGTGTACCTTGTCAGTGATTCCATTTTGTACTTTTGTACTGCAATCATTCATATAGTGTCTCGTAAGCAAATTGTAAATAATCGTCTGAATCGAATTGGATTACTGTATTGTGTTTCATTCTGGCCTATATATAGTTCAGATCTGGAAGATAGTTATGGTGGTAGTACTGGTAGACACCAAAAATACTACGCATACGCAGCAATGCTTGAAGTTGAAATGTAGTCTTTTTCGAAATTTCAGGAGCAATATTCCTTGTCATGGCGCCTTCCTACCAGGACAGGCGTTCTCGTCATTTTACTGAGCAATACAGTGACACCTAGTGGCAATTTACATCTACGCTTTTAAAGCCGCTGCGGTAAATCAAGCCCAGGTGTCGCCTGAATCGATAATAAAATTCCGCGTCCTATAATCACCGGGTCCACGCAGGAATAGGATCCGTTCCTGGCATCAAAACATGTGCACCATATACATAACTATGCCAACAACAAATGTGTTCTAGACGTCTACCTGTTCACTGTACTGTTTCTGGTTGGGTTGTATAGGCAATTTCATGGATAAAACGAAGACAATCTTCTCCATACACCCAGCTTCAATGAGTCAGTTCCCTTCATGAGTACTTGGGCACCATATGTTACTACACTCTAACTAAATTCTCTTCACTGCGAATACTGACCCATACATAGCAACCAGGAT